CTCGCCTCGCCTGTTCTCTTTTGCAACATCTCGCCTGTTCTCTTTTGCAACATCTCGCCTCGCTTTGTTTACGTGCTGGTGGACTGGCGCGTCTGCAGTTGTTATTTAGTAAAGGTTCTCAAAGATGGATTTATAAATTGGATGTTAATTCTATTAGTTTTGTCTCTGTTTATCGAGGTTATAACTCTCGGTACGTAGGTGGGGGGGGGGGGGTAAGGAAGAAACAGTAATTGGATTTTTTATAGTAGTAATAATTATGTTATCATGATAAAAGCAGAGATAAGCACAAAGAGGATCAAAAGAAAGGTGAAATGGAGAAACGAAAACACGAATTAATCCTTAATCTTATTTGTCTATGCACCAAAGAATCACATTCACATAACCAAATTTGCTCTCTTTGAACACACCCCTCACTCAAACCCCCCTCCCCCAGTTCCCCTAAATCTCAAACCCCCTCTCACCACCCCACCACCCACCCCACCCCACCCTCCCAAGACTTCCCCATCAAAGTCCTTTCACCGAAAATCTCATCATAAGTCTTCCCTTTAGGCCTATCCGGCAAAGGACATCTCCCCCCCACCCTCCGCTCCCCCCCCCCCAAACCTCAGATGACCCCCCCCTTCCCCTTTTCCCCCCACTCACGCCCACCGCCGCCCAAATACCTCGGTCTCGGTGGCGATAATGGGACCAGAAGTGACAGGGGCGGCTGATAGATCCAGCGAAGAGTGTGAAAGGCAGGGTGAGATGAAGGGCACGGGTGGGAGGGGGCAGGGGTGGGGGGGGGGGAAGGGGGGACTGGAGTGGGGGCAGGGGGAAGGGGGGGCTGGGGTGGGGAGGGGGGGCGGGTGGGGAAGGGGATGGGGCAGACTCGGGGGGACAGGGGGGGAGGGGGGCTGGGGTGGGAAGGGAGGGGCAGGGGCGTCCGAGGGGGGCAGGGGTAGGGAGGGTGGCAAGGGGGGGCAGGGGCGTCCGAGGGGAAAGGAGGGGTAGGAGGGGAATGGGTAAGGGGAGGACATGGGTCAAGGCAATGGACAGGACGAGGGGAAAGAGGGAAGGAAGTAAGGGAAGCAGAAAAGACGGGTTAGGGGAGAGAGGGGAAAAGAAAATGAAAAAAGGAAGGAAAAAATAGGGTAGAAAAAGGGGGATACAAAAAGCGAAAAAGACTCTAGGCAACGGAGATAGGATGCGGGAAATGTGAAATAGGATATGGGAAATGAAAGCCGCGTAGGAGAAGGGGGAGAGAAGAAAGGGAGAAAGAGGGGGGACTATTTGAAGGACGGAAGAGAGGAAGAGGTGAGACAGAGAAGAACAAAAACCGAAATGAAAGAAAGAGAAAGGGGACCCCCAAAAAAAAAAAAAAAAACGTAGGAATATGGGTATGACCAAAATAAAAGAGCCAAGAAAATAATAATTTGGGGGGGGGAAGAAACAAGAAAATTGATAAAAAGGAGACCAAAAATAAACCACAAAACGCCCGATAAAGAAGAAAAATAGAGAGAAAAAAATATAGAGAAAAAAAACGTAGAAGAACAAGGGTATGGCCAAAATAAAAGAGCCAAGAAAATAATTTTTGGGGGGAAGGAAACAAGAAAATTGATAAAAAGGGGACAAAAAAACAACAACATGAAAAGAAGAACCACAAAACGCCCGATAAATAAGAAAACATAGAGAAAAAAAGAAAAAAAAAAACTAGAGGAATAAGGGTATGACCCAAATAAAAGAACCAAGAAAATAATAATTTTGGAGGAAGGAAACAAGAAAAATTGATAAAAAAGGGGAAAAAAAAAAAAAAAAAAAAAACAGCATGAAAAGAAGAACCACAAACACTCCCCCCCAAAAAAAAAAAAAAAAAAAAAAATCGAGAAAAAAAAAAGAAGAAAAAAGAGAGAGAGAGAGAGAGAAAGAGAAAAGAGCGAACGTGGAGGGCATAAGAACCCGAGGAGCCGCGTCATCACCCCCCCTATTTTTAAGGGTCATTTGGAAGGTACTATAATGATGAACGTCGCCTCGGATGATGACCTATGAGGAGGGAAGCGATGACCACCATCTACGAGGTCGGAAATCGAGCTTGATGTTTGTTTGTTTGGGTTGTTTGTTCCCGTTTTTGTTTGGTGTCATTTTCTTGTTTTTTTTGCGATACGTGTGTTTGTGGATTATATGATTATTTTATCATTATTATTTTCATTATAACTATTATCATAGATATAGAATAGTGATAATAATATGATAATGATAATGATAATAATCATAATAATCATTATGATAAAGAGTAATGATATAATAATCATGAATAATAATAATATAATAATATAATAATAATAATGATAATAATATATAATAATAATAATAATAATAATAATAAATAATAATGATAATAATAATAAATAATGATGATAACAAAATAACAATAAAAAAGATAATAATAATAATATAACATTAACAATCATAATAATAATGATAAACAATAATCACCATTGTAATAATAATAATAATGATAACAATATGAAAAGCAACAATAAAGATAATTGATACCAACAAAGAACAACAACAATAATATTAGTATGATGATGATGATGGTAGTAATGATATGATAATTATTATCATCATCAGCAGCAGCATCTCTCCATCATCATCATTTGTATCATATATATATATATATACACACACACACACACACACACACACACACACACACACACACACACACACACACACACACACACACACACACACAACACACCACATATATATATATATATATATATATATATATATATATATATATATATATATATATATATATATATATATATATATATATATATATATATATATATATAATATATATATATATATATATATCCTCATCATCATCATAATAGTAATAATAATAATAATAATGAAACGATGATAACAGTAATATTATGGCAATGATAACCATAATCATAATTAATATAAGCATACTAATAATAATTTCAACAACAATAATAATAACTGATAATTATGATAATGATACCAACAATAGTAATAATCATAATGATAATAATAATGATAATAATGATAATAATAGTAATGATGATACGGATAAATAATGATCAGCATAAACAATACAATTAAAACAAATAAATATATAGATAAATAGAAAAACAATAAATAAATAAACAAACAAATACATCACCGCAAAGTGTCATCCATCACAGCTACATCATCACAAAACACGCTCATCACTTACACGCGCGGTTTATGCATGTACTTAGACTCGCTTTATGTCTGTACTTAGCGTAATTTAACCCCCGGCCTTGCATCACCTCACGTGCTAACCCCCTTCGCTAATATTCCCGCAACGTACTGTACTTTGTCTTCATTTTGGACCCGCACCCGCACCTGCCGCAGTCTTCTAATAGGCTCGGGGTTTATTCCTTATTATAATAACAAATAATGATAATGATAATGATAATAATGATATGATAATAACAGTAATGTTGATGCTGATTGATAGTAGTAGTTATTATTTTCATTATCATTTTCATTGTAATTATTGTAATTATTTACTATTATCACTATCATAACAATAATAATAATAACAATGATAACGATAATGATAACAATGAAATAATAATGATAGTAATGATAACCACAATAACAATAATATCAATAACAAAAATAACAATAACAAAATAATGACAATAACCTGCCACAGTCTTCTAATATACTCGAGTCTAAGTACATACATTCCTCGTCTTCGGGTGTTTCTTCGTGAGCACTGGCTGTGTTCTGTGTCGTCTTGGTTAGCAGGTGAAGACGTGGACTGGTCTCGTGAGGTGGTCTTGAGGTTGGGTTCGCTGGGGAAGGAGCATGGGTATGGTGGTGTTGGTTCTGATGGTGAGCTTAGGAAGTGACGACGATGGTGGGGATTTGGTGATGAGGGTCTTGATTGTGATTGTGATGGTGGTGTGGATGAGATTATTATGGAAATGGTAGAAGGATGGATAGTAAGGACGATAGTTAGCAACTTAAAGAAATGACAAAAAAGAGTATGAAAATAATTAAACAAAGATTAAGTGAAAACTAAAATACGAGAGGAAAAAAGCCAACAATGCGAAACAAACAAACAAGCAAACAAACAATTTAATGAAATTATTCCGAAAATCGCCTCCGCAAGCAGTGGCAATTCTGCTACTGTCTCAAAGCACCTTTAAGAACCTAATACATCACTTGCGGCTGAAGTTCATAACCAATATCGGATACCTTTGCTCGCTCTCACGTTCTCTCTCTGCTTGCCTTTCTCTCTCTCGCTTGTTCTCTCTTACTCTCAATATATATAATATATATATATATATATATATATATATATATATATATATATATTATATATATATATATATATAATATATATGCATCTATGTCTTTATAGATCTTGACTATCTATCTATCTGCATAAGTCAATACAGTTATATTATATTTGCATATGTTTATACTTCCATTGTACGTGAGTGTTATGTGTGTGTGTGTGTGTGTGTGTGTGTGTGTGTGTGTGTGTGTGTGTGTGTGTGCTTAAGTATGTATATATATGTAGAAGAGGTATGAATGAGGATGAATATCTACGTTATACAAGAGATTTATTGTATTGTGAAGACATGCATTCTCATTCATGCAATTCCCACATTTGTCAATATGAATACGGTTTATGTATATATATATATATATATATATATATATATATATATATATATATATATATATATATATATATATATATATATATGTATATATATTATATATATATATATATATATATATATATATATATATATATATATGCGTGTGTGTGTGCGTGTATACATATATGTATGTATAAATAAATATGTGTATATTATATATATATATATATATATATTATATATATATATATATATATAATATATATATATATATAAATATATCTATATATATATATATATATATATATATATATATATATATATATACATATCATATGT